GAAAAGGACTTTTTGCTCATTATTGTGTGTCAGATATGACTAATTGAATGTCTATGTATTGTTTTATCTATTTTCAAAGACGCTTTGGTACAATGCTCCAAAACACGACCCATTAAAAGTCATGTTAGGCTAAAACATTTCTTATTATCTTAAAAAATATTGAGATCTAAAGGCTTACACTGCAATGCCTGAAATTCATTTTTAGACAGAAGTACATGCATTTACCTATTTTAAAAACCTTACATAAACTTTACATACCTTATGCACACAGGTAACACTATAGTATAGGGACCAATTTTCACTTTTAACTCGTTGCACGTACTTTCTTCTTTACGCACGTACTTCCTTATGTATGTATGCATGCACTTACAGTACGTATAAACGCATTCACATGCTTCCTTCATTCCGTACACACGTACATACCACCCTCCTGCTTTACATATGCACACGTACTTCCATCCTCACATACATACAGACTCAGGTACTTCCTTGCGTAATTATGCATGTGCTCACGTACTTCCTTCCTTACATACACACATACTTACTTCCTTGTCTACCTATTTTAAAAACCTTACATAAACTTTACATACCTTATGTACACAGGTAACACTATAGTATAGGGACCAATTTTCACTTTTAACTCGTTGCACGTACTTTCTTCTTTACGCACGTACTTCCTTATGTATGTATGCATGCACTTACAGTACGTATAAACGCATTCACATGCTTCCTTCATTACGTACACACGTACATACCACCCTCCTGCTTTACATACGCACACGTACTTCCATCCTCACATACATACAGACTCAGGTACTTCCTTGCGTAATTATGCATGTGCTCACGTACTCGTACGTACTTCCTTCCTTCCTTACGAATGCATGCACTTCCTTCGTTGCATATATATATACATACACACACACACACACACACACATCCCTGCATTTGAAATCACAAACTTACATCTTTCCTACCATACATGCATACTTCCTTCCGTATGCATGTACACACGTACTTCCTTAAGTATGTACGTATGCACGTAGTACCTTCCTTTCGCACACACTTCCTTAAGTTCCTTCTCTATGTATGTATGTATGCACGTACTTCCTTCCTTACATACGTACTTCCTGATATACAGATTACATATTGTTGATAGGCCTGTCGCAATAATCAATATATCGACTTATCGCGCAATATATATACACATGACCTTAATCATTTTTGGTGATGCAATATATCGTCCATTATATTTACTTAAATTAATGTCACCACGTTTTGTACATTCCACTTGCGCCCGTGTCTTTTGCAGCTTCTCGTACATAACGTGGTGTAGTCATGTGGTGCTAGTTCAAATTTAAAAAGTGCTTCTACAAACAAAGTTTGATCTGCAGATATGGTCTTGTTTAGGGATCTGTGCCTTTGTGCATACAGACATCTGACTGCTAAGTAGTGATTGTGTTTTTCAGCAATAGTGTGCCCCCTTATTTACAGAGAAAAGAAGGTCAGGGAAAAATCTGTGGTTGGAAAAATCTCCATATTCAAGTTCTTTGTGCATTTTTCTTTTTTCCTACTTTGCACTTTTTGTTAGAAAATGTTTATTTACTATTTATTCAGGTTTTTTAAGGTATCTAATATTTTGATACTTAATTTCCATGATCTAAATATTCTTAAAAATGTAAAGTTTGTTGTCATTTGGAAGTGTGAAGGCCTTCTTGCATTATCTTGTCTGTTAAATTATGATTATATTTTCAGTGGCATAAAATGGTCTTTAAAATTACAATAATATCGCTTATCGCAATTATTTCTGGGGCAATATATCGCACAACAAAAAGTTGTTATCGTGACAGGCCTAATTGTTGATATGCAAATGTGTTGTGTTCATGGCTGATGGTGATGGTATAACCGTTCTAATTTCCGAAGAAATGTTTCCGCAGTTTAGTTTCAATTAAGATTCAGGCTGGACTAACGAGGAAGCTTGGAGTTGTGAATGTTACAGTATTTCTACATTGTAAAATAAGCTTAATTTAAAAATGTTCCACTTAAACATCTAATTTCAACAGGAAATGCATCAACACAGAAAAAAAGAAATTTCATAGAATATTTGTGTTATGAGTCTCTACAAAGAGAGGGCAGTCAATAGTGCTGTGGATGGATGGGAATTCATTATCATGTTGGAGATCCCAGCTTAATTATAGATTTCATTCATATTTAATTCTGCCACCACATGTTTGACTCATAATTTCAGATGTCTAATAACGGAAACTGCAGCCAAACTGGTTCAGGGATGTCCTCAGAGCCAGTCAAATGAAAACAGAACTGACATTCTAACATCCAGAGACCTGTCAACATCTCCACCGTCCTGACTTCATGGACCTGCCCTGCTTAAATCCCAGAGATATTTCTGAGTAATGAAATGAGAGCTATACACTATGCAGAGACTGTGGTGATTGCATACTGTTAAAATGTATCATATTTACTTTCTAAAAATAGGTTACTGGTAATGAATAATCTACCCTAAATCCAGTAATTTTTTTACTGAACTTCATGTCATTCCAAAAAAAAAATATATATATATATATGGGATGCACCGATACAACTTTTTCCAGTACTCGCCCGATACCGATACTTTTATTTTTGGTACTTGCCGATACCGAGTAGATACCAATATTTCCATTGCATTTGTAAATTTTTTAAATATTGGGCACAGAAACCAAAAGAGTATGTATAATGTTAGTTGGTAAACTTAATTTATCAAATAGATACAGTCAAACCAAAATTTATTCAGACACCTTCAACCTTTCTCACATTACCACAGTTTATTCGCTATAGTTTAGAAAATGGTAATAAAATATGACAACTGTGTCAGAACAAATTCAGCTTGATAATGTCAGATAACTTTGATAGAAAGGTATGTAATGGATTTCAATAAACCAAAAATTATTCCTACAGCTGTCAATATTTACACAACTATCAATAACTTTGTCGGGTGACCCTTAGCCTTAATGACAGCATATAGTCTCCTGGGCATGCTGTCAACCAGCTTCATGCAAACCTGAACTTCAATTTTTTCCCAGACTCGGTCTGAATACTTTTTGGTCCCAAATGTGTATAAATTTTACTGGTGGTCCACTGTATGAAGAATATTTGGGTATAATATATCACAGTTTCGTTTATTTTGCTATCCTCACTTTGCATAAATTAACTGTCCTACACCCACTAGTAAAAAATATCAAAAATTATATCTGGTCTCTGAATAATTTTTGGTTTGACTGTATATCCTTCTGTTATTTTCACACTTAATTATGTTCATTAAAATTTATTTTACAAGTTTTTGTTACTTTCACTGTTAATTTTTTTTCTCTCTATGGTATTCTACATAATCTTTAATTTATTAGCATTAGAGCTGCTCCATTGCAGCGGCTTAGTACTGTAATCACGCGCTTTGCTGTAATAATGCAGGGAACCACTTGCTATAAATCTCCTAACTGTGATATTTTCATAAATAGAACTTGCGTTTTTTTCATCTGAAACGTGCAGCTATTTATTTTCAGTTGTGTGATACTGGAATAAATAAATAAATAATATATATATATATTTATTGTGATTTTCTCGATAATGAGAATTAATATTTTGCTTAATATAATGTTTTTGTGCTGGTACATTGGCTGGTATAAATATAGCACTAAACCTGCCAGTAGGTGGCAGTAAGTCCTTTCTTAATGAGTGATTCATTGAATCATTCATTCAAACAATTCATTCAAGACAGCTGATTCATTTAGAAACTAAGCAAGAGATTGTCTTTATGAATGGATCAATGAATCATCGACTCAAATGATTCATTCAAAAGCAGATTAATTCCGGTACGAAACACAGCAGTGTTGCCCTGAGACGCACAAATGCTCTGCTCCAGCTTTGGTTGGAACCATTTTAATTGACGACAAACAGAAAATGTGTCTAAAATGTAACTCACTCAATATTAACTTCTTGTTTATAGAACTGTTGTATAAAATTATTAGCACATTTGCGATCACGCTAATATTTAGGAAAATAGGACAGAGGACTTCAACCCTGCTCCTGGGGATCAACTGTCCTGCAGCGTTTAGTTCCAACCCTAATTAATCACCTGAAGCAGCTAATCAAGCTCTTCCGGATCACTTGAAACATCACAGGCCAGGTGAGCTGAAACGGGTTGGAAACTTTGCAGGACAGTGGGTCCCCAGCCCAAGCATTCTGATAGCCAATCAAATGAAGAGTGACACTATGTGATGGACTTCTCTGGGAGTTTAGAAATTAAGTAACAGAACCATAAAACAGCATCTTACCCAGATCAGTATTAGGTCCCGCCAGAACCTGCCTGAACTTGTCGAGTCTTGACGCCTCTCTCTGGGTCATGGCAGGAGTCCCAGATGTGTTCTGATCCGCCATGCAAAATAAATAAATAATATATATATATATATATATATTTATTGTGATTTTCTCGATAATGAGAATTAATATTTTGCTTAATATAATGTTTTTGTGATGGTACATTGGCTGGTATAAATATAGCACTAAAACTGCCAGTAGGTGGCAGTAAGTCCTTTCTTAATGAGTGATTCATTGAATCACTCATTCAAACAATTCATTCAAGACAGCTGATTCATTTAGAAACTAAGCAAGAGATTGTCTTTATGAATGGATCAATGAATCATTGACTCAAATGATTCATTCAAAAGCAGATTAATTCCGGTACGAAACACAGCAGTGTTGCCCTGAGACGCACAAATGCTCTGCTCCAGCTTTGGTTGGAACCATTTTAATTGATGACAAACAGAAAATGTGTCTAAAATGTAACTCACTCAATATTAACTTCTTGTTTATAGAACTGTTGTATAAAATTATTAGCACATTTGCGATCACGCTAATATTTAGGAAAATAGGGCAGAGGTCTTCAACCCTGCTCCTGGGGATCAACTGTCCTGCAGCGTTTAGTTCCAACCCTAATTAATCACCTGAAGCAGCTAATCAAGCTCTTCCGGATCACTTGAAACATCACAGGCCAGGTGAGCTGAAACGGGTTGGAAACTTTGCAGGACAGTGGGTCCCCAGCCAAAGCATTCTGATAGCCAATCAAATGAAGAGTGACACTATGTGATGGACTTCTCTGGGAGTTTAGAAATTAAGTAAAAGAACCATAAAACAGCATCTTACCCAGATCAGTATTAGGTCCCGCCAGAACCTGCCTGAACTTGTCGAGTCTTGACGCCTCTCTCTGGGTCATGGCAGGAGTCCCAGATGTGTTCTGATCCGCCATGCGGGCCACCAGTGGAATCACAGGCCTGTGCGGGAGTGACTGCTGTCTGTGTAGTACTGCCTGGTCAATGCCCACTTCTGCCAGAAGACAAAACACAGCTTTAATGAGCATATACAAACTGCTGTCTGCTCTCTCACACCACTCTGCCCATTAAATGTAATTATGGAGGCAATTCATGACACATAGCATATCAGGACATGAGTTTGCCCACAGGTCTGAAGAGGCAGTTACCCCAAGATGCTCAGCTAGTGGTAATGAAACACTTCTCTGTCAAACTAAATCCATTACAGAGCTCGGCCAGATGAACCTCATTCAGAGTGCCATAATCATTAGGGGTAATCTTTGGACACCACACGATTCAATTCATTTAGATTCTATTTTAATTTAAATTCAGGGTGTCAAGATGAGATTCCATCCATCCATCTATCTAGCAGGTAAGCTCTAGATTCTAGAGTAAGTAAGCTCACTTCAGTCCCTTTGGTTGGATTTCAAGGACGTTTTGCCGAGAAGCATGTGTATAAAGAGTACCTATTGTAATTAATACTGAATAAATATTAAAAACATTTTGTTTTTCACCAATGAGAATGTCAATCGGCTTTCTCACTGAATGTAAGGCATTGTTTCTCAACCACCTTGATTTTTATTAGTTTTATTGTATTTATTATCATTTTAGCAATGTATATTATATAATTTATTTTAGCCTTCATTAGTACTTATTTTATATATCTAGTGATGTTAATTTCAGTTTGTTTCAGCAATGTTATTTTCAGCTTTTGTCATTTTTATTATATTTAATTTGATTCAAACCATCAAAACGGTTTTCTTCAAAAACAAATCATGATCAGTTTTTTTTTTTTTTTTACTTAATTTTACTTATATTTAAAACATTAAATCAGGTGTTAAGTTCATAAAATTGTATTTTATTTCTGTAATTTTATTTATTAATTATTTATGTATTTTATGTATGCATATATGTACATAAAAGTTGAAGTCTTGATTAGGCTTTAAAACCTAAGCAGAAAAAAAAGAAAGGAAAAAAAAAAAACACTTGCTGGTTCGGCTGATATTTTCTCAGCACTGCTGCCCGGTTTTTTTTTTTTTTTTTTTTTTTCCCCCAAACTAAATCCATTACAGAGCATAAAATAACAGCACAAAAAACATGCAAGTGTGTAACACATCTGAAGAGATACAAGGTGTGATGCATAATTTCGGAGGTTTGTGTTAGAGTAAATGTGTCAATAACACTATAAAATACCTTTTAAGTGATGTGTAAAGATGCCTTAGAAAGGGCTTTCTGTGTATATTCATATAAAATAGGTATATTTAAAAAAAATCATATAAGTAGGTTTAATGGGCACATGGGTACATTCTATGGTATAAATGTTTTCACAAAGAATCACAATGCATGGGTGAATTGATTTTGCCCCAATGTTTAATCATGCTGTCCAAACACTGAGCGTCACTGTAAAATGTGATTGTATGCTTGTTAGAGGCATTAAATCTTGGTGACTTTGAGAGATCATTCTCGCATTGAGCATCATAACATTTAATGACGTCGGTGTAATCCCTGCAGAAATTAGACAGTGCGTGACGGCTGTTGACAGTGTCAACACAAGGTGCTATTAGAGTAGATGTGGAACACATCGACAGGAAGTCCATTATCACAGTCATCCATTGCCACTGAGGCTGGCAATACAAATGGCTGACAGAACTGCCTGGCAGGGCAGGTACATTGGTGGTAGAAGACAGTCCTCATGTTACATACTCAAATACTCACAGGGAAATGTTTCATTCTTCGCTCAGAGGTTTAAAAGTATTTTGAAATACCTGAGCAGCGGTATACTAATTGCAAACATTCCAATGCCATCACACGGCTCTCCTGTGTGTTCATGTTATTAGTCGTTTCTCACCTCAATGGAGTTGAGAATTATACCTGAAAAGATTTCCATGTCAAAAAAGGTGAAGCCTCAGAGCACAGCCACCTATTACATATTTGCTACGGACCAATGGCAGTTTGAAGTTTTCTAGAAAGTTTGCACTAGCGAGCCGTTTCAAACTACCCAAACAAACCACAAACGAATTTCGGTATGGTTCGATTTTTTGATTGCAATGGCTTCATACCCATTCGTTCCTCGATTTGAATGCTATTTGGGCCTTCGGTCACTGCAGTAGTATGAAGAACTGGGATTCTAATATTATTGAAATAAACATGCTTTCATTTGATTTGCTATGATTCAAAAGTATCAGAGTGAAAGTTTGAGTGGCAGGTCTGTGGAAAAAAATGCATGTTATATTAGCATATTAAAGCAAAATGGCAATTGATTGACATTTCACTGAGAACAATTTGCCTGGGCCACACAGGTTTACAATGTTACAGCCTCCCAGTTAATGAAACTATTTAATGAAGGTCGTGCTAATTAGCTAGGAAGAGAACAAGGAGGAAAGGAAAGGCTAGAGTTTAGAAGAAAGTCAAAGGTCTGTTCCCAAATCCAAACTCTCATTTAAGCCTTGAGCAAAATGAGTTCATCTTTCCTAGATGCCATCTAGATGCCATCTAGATGCCATCTAGATGCCAACCAATATAGTCACACAAAATTGGCAAAATAATAATCTCAACCAATTTTTTTAATTTTTTTGGTTTTAGTTTGCTTTTGTAGTCTGTGCAAAATATTGCCAGGCATCTTGTGGGTGACCAATATAGTCACACAAAATTGGCAAAATAATAATCTCAACCAATTTTTTTGGTTTTAGTTTGCTTTTGTAGTCTGTGCAAAATATTGCCAGGCATCTTGTGGGTGATTGTCAGGCGTGATACAAAGTTACTAATGACGCTTTTCCACTGCATGGTACGGCACAGTACGGTTCGGTACGGTTCACTTTTGGGGGGTTTTCCACTGGGTACAGTACCTGGTACTTTTTTTAGTACCACCTCGGTTGGGGTTCCAAGTGAACCGTACCGTTACCAAAACGTGACGTGTAAACTCTGCTGATCACGGATTGGCCGGAGAGAATCGTCAAAAGAACCACTAGATTTAAATCAGCACAGACAGCGAAGGATCAAACGCTACTGTTTTGAACGAGCGCACCTTTTTTTAACAACCAAAAAGTTTTGTTGTCTGTTGCGGAAGAACAGACGTTCCTCTCGTTGATAGCAGAGGAGCGGATCCAGCGAGAGCTTGATGGGGCGACGTGGAATGAAAACGTTTTTTTTAGGAGTCGTGGTAGTAGAGGCGGCGCAACTATAACGACATGTGAATAATCCCACCCACTCTAAAGCGGTACTGAACTGCAGTGGAGACACAAACCGTGCCGAGCCGAACCATGCCGTGCAGTACTGAGCCCTGCCGAGCCGAGTCGTACCACGCAGTGGAAAAGCGCCATAAGGTGTTTTGGGTGGGGTTTTTTTGTTGTTGTTTAGTTTTTTCCCCTTTCGAACTCCTAAAAGGGCGTTTGTTCGATCTTCGCCAAATTTTGCACACAGCAGCTATGAAGAGTGCTCTGAAAAAAACGTATGTAAAGAATTTTGATTTGTCAAAGTGTTATGAAGACATTAGACAATTAATTTAAGCATTGTCCATTGACCAATATCTGCTAAACAAAATGCCCAAATTTAAATAAACTTGTATGTGTACTCACTTTATGAAAATCAGCCACAAATTGGCATCGCAATAAGCAACTTTACATTTTTGCTAATAACTCGGTTTTTGTTTCTTCTGAATTCTGTTTCTTCTGAAGCCATTCTGAGCAAACATGCTTAGTTTCAAGAATTTATGATGCTTAGGGGGCTAACAGCAAATTATAAATTATTAGCCATTTCAACTGAAAGATGAAGGCTGTGATACTGTTGTCCACTTGCACAGGAAAACAAATATTTTAGGTCTAAAATTTGTCCATCAGTTTCCATCACACTGAATGAAAATAAATGGATAGATCTTATTCATTTGTATAACTATGGTTTAATGACAGCACATATGATTAGTGTACGTAGAAACCTGTGAAATGCTTATAGATTATTAAATGTTTATTTGACTTTTATACTGGACTAAGTTATCTTTTGTGTCTGATTGCACTAATACTGTCAAAAACAAGGTTTACAGACACAGCTAGTTAACTAAACATGCTGCTGCTTGTCAGCAGGGATAGTTCACCCTCACTCTCATGTTGTCCCAACCCTGTATTAATTTCTTTCTTGTGCTGAACACACAAAATAAAATATTTTGAAGCATGTGGATAACCAAACAGTTGCTGGTCCACATTGACTTTGATAGTAGGGGGTAAAAAAAATTTTAAAACAAATATGGAAATGATGACAGAATTTTCATTTTGGGGTGAACTATCCCTTTAATGTTAATAAAACAACAAAACACAGAGAAAAATCACTCACTGCTCTTGACTGAAGAACTTAAATATATTTGCTTTAATAAGAATCAATGTATAATTTATACAAGTGTATATAGTTTTATTTTTTAATTTGTTCATTCAATTTCTTGAATGTTACTGCTAAATACACCCACTGTACCTGAAAATTAAAGCACTGTTTGTTTTATTTGTACATTATGTGTATTTATAATGTGTATCTTTGTTCATATTTGTTTTATAACAAAGATAAAATAATGACAAAGATGATTATCTTCGACCACTTTGGCCTAAATAGCTGCCATTGTTTTTTTATTACCTTGTAAGGCTTTGTTTTTTAAAATAGGGAAATTACTTTGGCTGTACTGCTCAGACAATTTGCAAAATAGTAAAACCAACATGACAAATTGTGATAAAATCGTGATTTTATCCTCCAAAAAATACAGTGATATGATATTTCTGCCATATCACCCACCCCTAAACGGCAATTTATTATTATTGATCAGTGTTATTTTAGTCTTATTTATATACTATTATAGTATTTATTAATATTTTGAATTAGCTTTTATTTTTTTCAGTTTATCTAAAATTTTAGTAATTTTGTTTTGTAGTTTAGTCATTTTTATTATTCCGATAACACTTTAGAATACGGAACACTTACTCACTTATTTCTTTTTTTTTTTTAGTTTTAGTAAACTATTTTACTACTCCAACTTTTTTTTTCAACTACATTTTTCATCATCAATCAATATTTATATTTTATTTTATTCAATTACATTTTTTAGTTTACAAACTCAACACGTATTAACACAACAATCAAAGATTCATTTCAGATTTGTTAACGCTACACAAGCAGTCAAACAATAAACTAGACTAAAAGAGTATACAGAGACAGGAAATGCAGTTGTACTGATGTTTGACTGACCTTTAGGTGAGCCGACAGGAGCTTCACTGTGTGACTTCTTCACCATTCTGTTGTCACTTAGTGGAAGAGTCTCTGAACTGAACGACAGATCTGTTGTCATCTCGGCCCCTTCCTCTCTCTCGTCCTCTTCATCGGGCTCTTCCTCCTCTTCCTCGTGTGCTTCCTGTCCATCTTTTTCATCGGGCTCAGTCATCTTGCCCATCTGCTGCTGTCTTCTTTCCTGCAGCTTGCTGTGGTTTTCTATCACCTTATTGGCTGTCTCCATGACAACCTCAATGTTGAGATTTTGGGCTGCCATAGCGAGAAGTTCATCATCATCATCTCCCACATCCCAGGCATCACTGGTGATGCTCTCAAACTCTTGGAAGGTGGTGGCTTTCTTTGGTTTTCCTGGCGTAGTGGTAGACGGAGGCTTGTTTCCTGCTTTCATCAGACTGCAACACAAAATTTTGACTTTTGTTTATACATGAATCAATCTCACACAGAATGCTGGTGTTCCACAGATATTTTTAATAATATGTGGTCAAATCATAAAGAACAGGGAAATTGTTCTGGCTTCTCTGACTCGCATTGTTAGTCACCGAGTCACTGTTGACTTACAAAAAGTAATTTTTTCTCAACACTGTAAATAAAAAGCGACTACATATGTTTTTTATGTTTATGAAACCTTTTCAGTTAAAAAAAAAAAAAAAAAAAAAAGCCATTTTCTTCAAACTACAAACCCATATCAGCCCCAAATAATGTCCCAACGAGTCAAAAACAGTTGTCTGAAGAAAGAATTTCATATTCCTGAAATGTTAAGACTTTGTGAGTTCCCAGCATGAATAAATTATGTAGATACTGTTATAGGATTAATTCTTGCTGTTTGATGACTTTCTCATTATTGTTAGTTATCTGTTGTGTTGTGATGTAAAGAGCTCATCATTTTACATTTGTTGAGTGTCACCATTCTTGAGGTTAGTGCATCAAGTGTTGAGGCCTGAAGTATGTTCAGCAATGTACAACTATATCTTACATTGCTTTGCTTTGTAAGGATGATTGTTATCCACTGTACAAATATAGCATGATTCACTTAACACATTAAGTGCCATATAAGACTATATTACATTTGACTATCATAAGAAATTAATTTACTGAGTTAATAAAAGAAAGTTTACTGAACAAGAAATCTTTTGTTGTCCTCATGAATATATTGGCTGAATGAAGCATTTTAGTGAACAAACCAATTCAAATTGACATTAGTTGTACAATTAGGCCGCTGAAAATGCCCAGCTGTGAGCGCAGGTTTTTTGTTTTTTTTCCAGTTGAGACGCTGTGGTTGCAATGATACGGAATATTCGCTGAAGTAATATGACAGATGCATCGCAAATTAAATGTTTCTCCAAGCCTTATTTTTCATAACAATAATATGGTAGTCCGGTAATTCTATCTGGTAAAGACATAAATATTAGGAGACAAGCAATTGTTGTTCAGTTCAGTCGTAGTACAAGCAGGTGTGACGGTTGGTCGGTATTAGTCCCGCCCCTCCTCCACCGTGATTGGTCAGCTGACTAAAAGTGACAGTTACGAGCGCTGCGTTTTACCCAAAGTTGAACATTCTTCAAATCACGGCGGCGAGAAAAAAACCGCCCGAGCGCTCAGCATAAAAAAGACGCCCGGCACGCTCCTGGCACTCTAAAAAACGTGGCGCTCCCATTGAAAACAACTGAAAAAATACACTAGCATCGGGAAAAAAAACGCTTTGGTGGACATGGGGCCTTATTAAAACAAAAGTTGAGAAAACTTAAAACTTTGACCAACTTTGTAATTTTTTTCTCTACTGTGACGTCTATCCGAGTGAAAAGGCATCTGAAATGAGAGGGTGGGACTTGACTTCGTCCTTCGGGAATTGATTGGATCGTTGGAAGTTGGGGCGTTGCTAACAAAATGGAGGCAGATCTGAATGCCAGTTTGCAGTTAGTTGTGGGGGGATTTCTCTCCACTGTATTCACCGCCGACACGAAGAAATGTATTTATTGAGGACGACGTGGACAATCAACGGCACAAAACATACCTAACAGAGAGAGAGAGAGAGACTGCCTGAATGACTGAGCGCGTCCTCCATCAGGTTAAGTCATATTCAGAAAAAAATAAATAAATAAAGTTTGTGACGTCCTAAGAGTAATGTTGTGGTAATATCCTCATATCCTTTCAATTTGTAAGGGTAGTGCCCCTATGGCTTACGTCAGCACTGGTTAGGCTTGTTTGAGATGAGCAAAATCTGCGCAGAACCAATCACCGGTGATCTCCGCGAGATTAGTTAGAAGATTAGAGATTAGTGCCGGTTAGAAAAGTGTCCGAGTTACATCCGACTTGCTCTGATGTCACGCTGACGTATGCCGAAAAACACTCGCGACGGCGAGGCGGCTGTGTCGGATTGTGCCGTCGAGCGCAGTTGCTCTCCACCGACTGCGCTGAACAAATGCATGATGGGAAACAACTGACTGACAGCTTAATGTAGGGTGACCATTTTTACTTACATTAAAGGGATTCATTTTAAATTTGAAAGGAAATGAGATATAATGCGTTCTACTCAATCGGATGTTGTATTCTCATTATAGCCAGCTAACATCAAAAATCATATTCCCTCTAACAGGGAGGCTCTTAAGTATCTCATTCCAAAAACTACAAAGGCGGCTGCTTTTGGTCTAGTTCAAGCATGCGGTTTCATGCGACACTTCAATGGGCATGGTTTGCTGATTCATCGTAGTAACATCTGTGGCTGTCACAAAGAAAATAGCAACAAGTGTGAACTGACAAGCATGATCACTACATTTTCATTTTATGATTACGCAAATTCAACATCAAAATCAACTCATCTTTTATTGGGAATGATTAATCTAGGCATACTATAGAAAAGAAGAACAACTTGTTCTTCCTCTGCAATTACTTTCTTTTTAAGGTTTCATTTTGCTTTTCGAGATCTAATCAATTCCCCACGAAAAAGCCATGTCATGCTCTTCCGTTTATTTTATTAAACGTGCATGTAAACTCATTTTACTTTCTTAATTGCATATATTTTTTTTAAGTGAAATAGAAAATGCAACAGCATCAACTATATACAAACACACGTGTGTGTTTCTATAGATGTTGCTGTTGAATTGTCTTTATCACACTGAAATTAAGGAAGTAAAATGTGTTGCAAACAAAACAGACTTCAAAAAAAAAATTTACGCAAAAGCACACAAAATAGAAAACAGATCCTCTTCTGTTCTTTTCAGCAAAACTAAACATGATAAAATACATTGCACACACACCGTATAAGCTATTAATTAAAATTACAGTTTAAATTTTGGAGAATACGGTGCCTGCAAAACAACAGAACACAGTTCAAACAGCCATCCAGACATTCAATCATCAAAACCACAGAAAATAAATAAATAAATAAAAATGTTGTCCACTAAAATGCATAACGGCACTTACTTGGCATGTAGCAAAGGGTCAAATGGGGGATCGAGAGACCACAAAATCGGCTATATATCTCAAATAAATAAATGAATAATCCCAAAAATGTTTTTTTTATGTAATGACATTACTTGTAAGATACAACAAGGTATATACGTGGCAATAAAGCGCAATGTTGACGCATTGGTCACTTTTTTTCCATTAAAATGAATATGAAAGAAGAAACCTCCTATACCACTACCTTGGAGAACTAAGAAAAACTTCAGTTTTGCTTCTTCATGTCAATTAATTTATTGAAGCAATACTGCTTACACTTAAAAGAGTGGTGATAGCTACTATGTCCTTAACCAGCTTCAAGAAACGACTAAAAACACATCTGTTCCACCTTTATTTGACCCTCTAACTCTAGCACTTTCTATTCTATTTGTGTGTGTATATATATATGTGTGTGTTTGTTTGTATGTATGTATGTATGTATGTGTGTATATGTGTGTGTATGTATGTATATATATATATATATATGTATGTGTGTGTATGTATGTCATTATATTATATATTAGCCTATGTAACATAAGATGTACAGTATAAAAGTTCAATACGCTAAATATATGATGGAACAAAACGGCTCTACATTAGACATTTTAATGTTGTATAGCATATTTTAATTTACATATGGCATGCAATATACGTCCGAGTGGCATAATATGTCATATATAATATAACTTTGTAAATAAATCGGTGCTGACCTCTAATTAACTAACAGTACCACAAAAAATGAAAGCAAACAAAGAAAGAAAGTATGCCAATCACTCACATCGCACCTCCTACAATAGGATTATGTGTGACGCATTTCTCTCAGGCTCCTCCCACTTTATCCGGGAAGCGAAAACCGCTATGTAGCAAAACTGCTTAGGAGTAAACGAGCAACATTGCAGCGACTGTAGTATTTGTTTACAATTATTTAAAGCGGCGGCCGGTGTAGTATACACCCGTTTTGAAGATGAAAGTGAGATAACAAGTGTGTATTTGCTGTTAAGAGCTGAAATGGAGAAGCAGACGCGTCTGTTGTGCTCTGAGCTGTGTGTTCAGCGTAGATTGTTTGAGGTCACATTAAACTGTGCGATTCTCGCGTGGAAAGACATACAAATCGCCCAAAAACACACCGGACGCGCCATATATGGAGCTGCCAAAGCGGGTGAGTTACATATCTAATACAATAACAACACTATAACATGTACAACAAGGTGCGCTGCTGCTGTTGTATGTTCTAGTGCGTGTGTTTCAAAACTAACCGAGCTGCTTAAGAGCGATCGTATCGCGGTGTTGGGGGTAACGCATTACAAGTAACGCGAGTTACGTAATCCGATTACTTTTTTCAAGTAACTAGTAAAGTAACGCATTACTTTTTAATTTACAAGAGAATATCATATAATTTATAATTTATAGAGAATATAATTTACAAGTTACTTTTTCAAATAAGTAACGCAAGTTACTTTTTTTCCCCAATTTATTGATTGACAGCTCTCCTGTTGAGAGAAATCAGATGTTACTCCAGTTCTAAAATAAATATGAATATGCATTAATTCATCTCACTCACAAAACAAAAACAGATTCAGTATTCCTCCAAATGAATACAAATAATGCAACTCAGAATATGACGCAAACCTGCAATAATTAAATGTTAAACAATACAAATATCCTTTATGTATTTAATCCCATTCTATTTGCTTCTGACCTTCGATGATCCAGTTCAACCGTACTAATAAGCACAAATTACTCTAGACAAACATTCGTGTGTCTTTTTTTATTGCTGAAGTGTGTTGAAATGTCTTCTTCTGCATTCTACTGTACGGACGTAAATTTACTTTCCCTTCAGCCTGAGGCTTATTCATTTCACTTTTGGTGTGAAAAGGCTTTTATATTTGCCAAAAATATAACTTTTGTATTTGAAAAACAAACAAGCAAGCCCTGCCCAGATTTAAAAAAGTAAAAGTAATGCAAAAGTAGCGTAACGCATTACTTTCCATAAAAAGTAACTAAGTAACGTAATTAGTTACTTTTTTATGGAGTAACGCAATATTGTAATGCATCACTTTTAAAAGTAACTTTCCCCAACACTGATCGTATGTACAGTACGTACAGAGAATCGCAGAACGCAGCATTTTTGACCACCTAACTATGATGACCCAAAAAGGCACTGGCTGGATGACGTCTTTGATGGCCAAAACGCTGCTTAAGCAGAACGTGTATGCACTCTAAAAAATAATTCAGTGGATCTGTTGCCACTACTTAATTTAATGCATCAGTGCAAGTTAAAAATTCAAATGTATTGATTTAATTCAACATTTTAAGTTTTAAACATTTTTTAATGAGTTGTCCTGATATCTTAATGTTGATAATTACATCAACGTAATACTGTGTGTAACTTCAACTTAAATATCTGTGTTAGTTTGTTTAAAACATTATTTAAGTTGTACTAACTCAATGTAATTAGCTCCATAATGTCATTTTTTTCAAGTTCACGTTTCAGGTTCCCAGCATGCTTTGCATGTGACTGAATAATGAGCGGTGATGTAGAAATAAACTAATAGTTTATGCATTTCTATTCAAGATCAGAACAGGAGAAGATTTATTCATGTTCAGTGTTCGGTTATATTAGTATTTAAAAGTGTTTCTGTTATGTTGGTGGTTTTTATGAGTTTACCATTGTGCTGAAGAGTAGAGCGTTTGCTTAGGTTGAGAACAGACTCACTGGACATTGTCTGACATGCTGTTTCAATCAGAAGGCATTTGGTTGAAAATGCTAAAAGATTGGTTTCCTGGCAGCATTAAGTGTCGTTTCATCAAAAATTTATATTTTAGTAATTTTTGTAACCAGTGTCCATGATTGAATCAAATTTAAAACAATGTGAAAAAACAACTTAATTTTTATGAGTGTTCAACTTAATAATTGTTAGTTTTAACACAATTTTCTAAGTATATATAGCACAGTACAGTGTATTAGTTTAACTTAATTTCAGAAGAAGTTGCCTTAACTCAAAAAAATTGATGCAAACTGTTGCGTGAATTTTTTGTTGTTGTGTCCAAACAATATTTTTTAGAGTGTACGATGCACAAAAACACTGCTGATTCTGAACATGTCAGTGGTGCCCAAAATGATGCTGATTGGAAGCAGTGGCGGATTAAGACTCTTTGGTGGCCCCTGGGCAACGACACCTAGAGTGTGATAATTTTTTTTTTTTTTGCAAAATTGTATATTAATAAACTGATCTGATAACAAGGCTACAAAAATTCTTACAAAATCAGGTTACCACTTTTTACAGTGTACTCTGAAATTATTATATAATTTATATCACATATGATTGAAATTATTTATAACTTGTGAACCCACCTCTTACAGGTGTTCTAAGATGTGATATAAATCTGAACTGTATGCAGCAAATTGAAACATTTTATAACTAGTGAAGCCAACTGTTACAGGTATAATAATAATCCAATCTGTTACTTCAGACTCTATGGAAAAAAAACAAAGAGTGGATAATCTTTTTAGAGTCATTGTTATCCTCAGCTAATGTTCATTCATTTAAATTTAATTTACAAAAACATTTTCAAATGTTTTACTCCCTTGTGTAAAAAGAGTGTTTTCAGAAATGCAACAATGAGTGCATGGTCTTGTTTGCAGTTACATATACAGTGCTTAACAAATTTATTATTATTATTATTTATTAATGGTTAGAGAGTCAGACTCGTAACCCAAAGGATACAGGTTCAAGTCTCGTACCGGCAGGGATTGTAGGTGGGGGGGAGTGAATGTACAGCGCTCTCTTCCACCTTCAATACCACGACTGAAGTACCCTTGAGCAAGGCACCAAACCCCCAACTGCTCCCCGGGCGCCGCAGCATAAATGGCTGCCCACTGCTCCGGGTGTGTGTTCACAGTGTGTGTGTGTTCACTGCTGTGTGTGTGCACTTAGGATGGGTTAAATGCAGAGCATTAATTCCTAGTATGGGTCACCATATTTGGCCACATGTCACGTCACTCACTCAGCTGCCCTAAACTAAGTAGGTGATTACCAAAATTACCATTGTTATGTTTCTGTAATGGTTAATCCACCAGTATGTGTAAGATCTTTAGTCACAGTAGTGTTTCTAATGCTAAATGCATTTCTAATGCTAAAATATAATTATTGTTGGGATTGAATGATTCTAAGATAGATTGCACAAAAGTTTAATTTAAAAGCAAGTCTTTGGGAACAACTAGAAACTATTTGGAAGTCAGTAACAACAGAGACTGTGGAAAAGTGCATAAAAATTATGCCATGCAAGCTTTTATCAAGGCCAAAGGAGGCCATGCAAAATAAAAATAAAATAGCCTATTTATATTTTTGGTTATTATGTGTGAATAAAGACTATTTCGTTGTTTCAGTTTGTTATTTGCCCAATGATAACACAATTTTTAGGTTTAAACAAGTTTTTGACGGGCGGTCTAATACATTTGTTAAGCACTGTATATAGCTACATGTAGTTTTGTGAGGATTTGAATGGAAAATAAAACTTACAAACTCACTCGTTTACACTTTGCCCCTTTCTTGATTGCCAATGGCTGCAAAGTACAACGTGAATCCGTAGCAGATTCACATATCCATGGCTATTTATATTTTTGGTTATTATGTGTGAATAAAGACTATTTCGTTGGTTCAGTTTGTTATTTGCCCAATGATAACACAATTTTTAGGTTTAAACAAGTTTTTGACGGGCGGTCTAATACATTTGTTAAGCACTGTATATAGCTACATGTAGTTTTGTGAGGATTTGAATGGAAAATAAAACTTACAAACTCACTCGTTTACACTTTGCCCCTTTCTTGATTGCCAATGGCTGCAAAGTACAACGTGAATCCGTAGCAGATTCACATATCCATGAGTAAGGCATTTCAGTTGAAGAGACGGGAGTTGCGCGACAGCATGCTCCTAGAATCTGTTTGAGTAATATGTGGCCGTCGAAACGAAAGCACACGGGTTCAGTTCGATAGCCTATGTGTGAATCTGGCGATAGATCGCGCATCCTCTGTTTCACGCATGAGAAGAAAAAGAAACCTTTTAACAAAACTTTCAGAGAACTTAGTACGTTCTGATAAAAGTAGGGGTCGACCGATTATCGGCCTGGCCGATTATCGGCGCCGATATTAAGCATTTTTATGAACATTTTCAAAACAGATTCACCGATAAAATAACTTAAATTTGAAACGCGCTATTTGGCTCTGATGCAGCCTGTCAGAACTCACCACTCTATGGCCTAGAGCAATCTCCGCCCACCGCTCATCTGATTTGTTGGGAGTCATGAGTCCGACCAATCAAAGCGGAATTCACTCTCACTCCGAAAGCGCTTGCTAACTGCAGCTGCTTCAGTGATCACGCATCAGTTGTCTCTCAAAGGTAAGGCAGCAGCAGACGTTGCTTAAGTTGCAATAGATCCCAATCCACTAACGTTGCACTGAAGTTGCAAAACACCTCAATATTATCTATGATTTCCGCGATGCGGAAAACGCGGACGGAATCGCGGAATCCAGTCATATAAATGGAATTTACTGTAGGCCTATGACACGGAATTTGTCAAAGTTTGGCTGAATTAATCAAAAGTAGGTCAGTACACTTAAATAGAGTCGCAATATGGACTATTATCTGTAAATAGTAAGCCGCAAAAATACTATTTAAATATGGATCCAGCATGCGTGTCTCCGTGTATGTAAATGGCACAGACGCTCGATGTTGTTTTCTACACATACAAAGTGTGCGACGCTCGCGCTGATTTATGAAATTATCAGAAATATATTACTGTGGTGCAGTATGATGTACATGATAATACTACTCAGGGATGAAAGTTTTCCGTCACTACGACGGATTTCTGTCAATTGGAGAAAAAAATGAGGGAAAAAGAAACATGTAGCACATTGTTGTTCTGCCGGTGTTCTGATGATTTGTTGGTAGCATAATCTGATAGGTAGCATTATTTGTCAGAACACCAGCACACCAAAAACGATGAACTTATCATTTGCACGCGCTTTTGAGTCTTGAGAACTCTCATTTTCTGTGCGCCCACAGATCGCGATAAAGAGAGTGACAAATTTTAATAATTATTCAAGGAGTTTGCAAATGTGATATTGATTTAATACAACAGTTCAATAAACACGTACTG